GCAGCCCAGTGGGGACCGCCCACCCTAAAGGGGGTGTGGCCAGCCTGAAAACAGCCATCAGCCCCTCACCCAGGCTGGCCAAACCTCCATGGGGTAAGGGTATCCACTGGGGGCGGCCCACACCTAGGCTAGCCAGGCATCCCAGGGGGTCCCCTGAAGTGGGTGTGACCAGCCTGAAAACAGCTATCAGCCCCTCACCCAGGCTGGCCAGGCACCCCAGCGGGACCCCCACCCTGATCCGGGAAACCCTTCAGGGCAAACCAGCCAGCCCCCACCCATGGACTCTATCCTATATAGTAAAAGGGTAATATGCGAACTGACTCTAACAGCAGAAAGATTGGGAATGACTGGTCACTATGACACACATTGACCACCAGGGGGCAGATGCTCAATGCAGAAGCTGCCCTCTGGTGGTCAGTGCACTCCCACATGGGGGAACTCTGCTCAGCCATAAGCCAGGCTGATGGCTGCCAGTACGGCGGTGAGGGTGGGAACCTCTCCTGCCTCCTCGCTAAGAATGTCCATCTGCAGCTTAGGTCTGCTCCCTGCTGGTAAGTGGACATCCCCCAAGGGCTGCCGGGCTGCCAGAGGGATGCCTGACTGCCAGCTTAGGCCCGATCCCCGAGGGAGCAGGCCTAAGCCAGCAGGTGGACATCCTCCGAGGGGTCCCAGACTGCGAGAGAGCACAGGCCGGGCTGAGGGACCCCCCTCAGTGCACAAATTTTTGTGCACCGGGCCTGTAGTTCTTTAATAAAAGGTGATCAACATATTCCATATCATATAGATTTTAAAATATTTTTGAGTGTCCACATATACCAGAGATTGTGCAAGACTTTTGAGGAAATAACATTGTGCATAAAATATGGTCCTGGTTTCCACAGGCTTGTCTTCCAGGACAGATGAGTAACATTATAGGCAGGATTGAAATAGAGCTGTCAAGTTGCATTGTTAGGGTTTTATAGCTGCCATTGTGAATTAGGTCATTCTCTGTGGTGGAGACCGAGCTTGTATATTGTGAGATGTCTTAAAGCATCCGGGCCTCTACCCACTGGACACCAATAACACCTTCCAGTTGTGACAACCCAAGATATCTCCAGATATTGCCAAGAACTGAGTTAAAAATCACTTGCAATTTTCAACCAGTATATTAGATGGAAAGTCCTAGGTATATTTTGCTAATGAATATAAATTCTAGTTGGAGAAACCAAGTAAAGTCCATGGAAGAAAGGGTGGCTGATATGAATAAGTTAAAAAGAAGAGAGAAATTCAGGACCAGAGAAGATGATGATGAAGTGGCTAAGCTGATGATGGGAAGCCAAGTGGATAAGTATGAATTATGTTCCAGAGTCATGTAGCACTGGGTGGTTAGGAGAGAAAAACTGATAAAGTAAAAAAGCAATTAAATTATGGAGGTCCTTGGATATAAAATAAAGAGAGATGGTTTTCATTTTGTAGGGTGGCCATTTGCACATAGAAGTGAAATGAATAAAGCATCACTTTGGAAATGTTAATATGGCAGTTCTGGGCAGAATGATTTAGGCAAATACGAAAGTTTATTTTAGGTCTGGGACTCAGTTAAGGACATAATTTGGCAGAAATTGGAGAATATATTTGTGAGAGATGTATTTCCCAACATGGAATGAGAGAAGAAAAACTAGTGAAGAAGTCTATATCTTGCTTCTATGTTTGATCTCATAAATTGTTGTTGAAATTGTTTTCTCGTAATACAGCTGACACTTTATAATAGAGCTGATGGACAGATGTGCCCAGATTCTCTGGGACTCCATGAAGTGGAAAGTTATAACTGATGTTGCAGAGTTGTGAAAACAAAGATAATACCATTCTCAAAAACAACTCTCCATTGACATAGAAACTAGGGATCTAAGAGTTTAAATAATGTCGTTCAAGAAAAGTATTCAAGTATTCTAAAGGGTTAAAATGTATGCTTAGCCAATTTACTCTTGATTGTAACTACACTGTTCATTTTCTCTTAAAAGATTTTCTATCCCTTTGTACATTAAAACCTCTCATGCACAGAATGGCCTGGGATAGGGTGGGAGCTAGGTAGAGGGGGACCAGGGGAGGGAGGAATGGGGGATATCTGTAATGCCGTCAAAAATAGATTAAAAAAAAAGATTTGAAAAATAAAAATAGGGAGAGGAAGCAACTGTGAAATAGAATGTCATCACTTCCCCTTCACCCCCACATCTTCCATTCTTGCCCAAGTCACCTCTGACTTACTAGTAGATCTAAGAAAGGGGCATTTTCTGAAATCACAGAGACTTTCTATCCTTTGTTTACCAACAGGCTAGTATACTTATTTTAGAAACTCTTAAGCTCCCATTTTTTAGATTATGACACCAAAAAAATTTAAAATGTTGGTAGACACCAAAAAATTAAAATGCACTCTTTGAAAAACGTAGAAGCAGGGAAGCAATAAGAGACTAACTGAATAGAAAGAAATGAACACCTAGGGAAACCATTGGAAAAATTTAAAATCAGGCACAAAAATCCTGATTTTGTTAAATAAGCAAACTCTAGTTTCATAAGCAGGGAATTAAGTATTGGTGGAAATTCAAGAGAGGTTTTTTTTGTGTGTGTTTTTTTTATTCCTGTCAGCTAGATATAAAATAGACGATAATTGGAAGAAACTTGAATAAGTGAAACAAGGTAAGAGGCTGCTGCAGTAATCCAGATGTTGCTCATTTATCAAAAGCAGTTTCTAAGTATCCTCTGTATTAATAGCACTTTATGAGATACAAATTAATGCTTAGTTGAACTAGGGCAGCGACTACAGAAATGGAAATGTCCTACTGAATATTAATAAAATGACAAAACCGGCTCAGTGCCCATTTTTTTCTTGAGGTTGTTATTCCTACACTTATCAGACTTTACATATTTGAAACAAATCCACACTTTGGGGATGTTTTCCTGAAGTAAGTTGCATTAAGAATCATGGGGAGAAGTTGCTAATAGTTGCCAATCAACTGCCTGTCAGTCTGTACCGATATGACATATTTTCTGAGTTTAACAGCACCATGAGCTAAAGATGAGGGGGAGGGAAAAAAGTAGGGAGCAGTGCCACCCCTCCAGGTTTTAGCAAAGGCTCTATTTCTGTCAATCACCAGAAAATTAAAATCCTTCCTGGTCCTGCAAGAATGTTTTTAGTGAGTGAGAGTGTGTTTATGAAAAGAAATGAATGAACCAAATGGCCACAATTATTGATTCTTTCTGCCCCTGTGGCTTTAGACTAGAAGTGGTTTTCAAGGGTCCCAAAAGCTATTTCCAATTTTCCCCCCCTTAATTTGATCTGCAGCAGTATGGATGCCCTCAAGCTAGCCACATCTGATCTGTTCCATCAGGCCAATGGGAGTGACTGTCAATTAATAGAAAGACTGCATTTAAAAGCCCTTTTCATCTTTCTATATAATTTAAAATGTATATTAAGCTACAGAAAAGACAAAACACCTGGATTGTCACAAAACTAAATTTTAGCCCCACTTCTGACTGCGGCTTAAAGCATGAATCTAAAAAAATCTAAACTATCAAAAAATCTAAAAATGTCGTTGTGGTTGAGAAGTAAAACCTCTCAGTCAATCTCCTACCTTATCAACATAATATTCACCATTGGAAATGTTTAAGTACTATTAATTACAATTAAATGGCTTTTGGTAAGTTATAGAACTGTTAAGTGCTATAAATGAGTTTTCTTTTATGTAATATGAGTATCTCGATCTATAAATTAATATATACTCTTTTTATAAAGAACTGTCCCTGGCTCAGGGTTTGTTTCCTCAGTCCAATATTCGGTAAGCCTTTATTGCTAACATGTTATGTGTTCTGTGCCATACAAGGGACTGGGCACATGGGGGTGTGTAAGACGGGGATCCTCTTTCTTCAGGAGTTGACAGTCTAGGAGAAGAGAGAGACAATTAACCTGGTACATGCAGAAAAATGTAAAAAGTACTACCATAGAAATGAGCACTTAGGAGAATATATAAGTCAGAATAGTAAGGGTTTTGTCTTGTAATGATGTTTGTTTCCTTTTCCCAGTATATTAATAATCCTAATAAAAACCTTAGCAGTTTCCTATGCAAAATGGCAATGTGAACATGTGGCTTCCATAAACTGTTCAATATTCTCACAGTAGTAAAAGGCTTGAAGGGATCTTCAGTAACTACAAGTTTCATTTACATAAATTTATCAGGTATTTTCCATATTTTGACATTCCTAAGAACCCTTTTAAAAGCTACCGCATTTTGTTTGGGGAGTATCTTTCCAAGTCAAAATTCTTGTATTTTCCCCACTCTGTTTCTCTCCCGGTTTTCCCCTAAATAAGTCGAGAAGCATTTATTTTCTGTGGCTGGTAAATATGATTTATCGGCTTTTGGAAGAAAAAAAGAAGAAAGAAACACTGAAAAACCTGTGGTGCATTTTCTGCTTCAGTAAATGGGTCACACTTTGTCAAATTCTGACTATATTAAGCTTTTGTGAAGTTCTGTTTTTCTCAAATACTAGGTTGCTGCATTGGATATCGAAGGGCAATTTATTTTGTTCTAAGTAGGCTTTTACTCAGTTCATTTTTTTTTTTTACCTCAAATCATGAATACTTCAGAAAAGATAAATCAGATAAATTAGAATGCTTAAAGAAGGAGAATATTATTTTCATTTACATTTGGGCAAGTGCACGCTGCCCCATATTTGGAGATGGTTATTGCAAACTGAGACTTGTAAGATACTGACTTGTTAATTTTCTTGTGGCAGTGATGAATTTGAGGTGATCCATCTCTGAGAAAAATGGCCCTGTCAGAAAGTAGCTTCTATGAACAGGAAGATCAAAATTTGCCATCCTCATAGAAACTGAACCTAAATCATAGCCACCAACAATTATTACTGCATACAAATAAAGGTTGAGAGTAGATATAATCAAGAGTATGCCATTCACAAATGATTGCTTAAATGTTTTTAAATTGATCTGAACATTTACTTTTTGATTCTAAACTATTTTTCAAAATTGTCTTGCTATCACCTTGTTAGGATGAGTCTTTCTCAATTAAAATGATAACATACAATACACATTCAAATGCAAGATATATTTTTGTTCTAGTGAAGTGCCCAGCACAATGTCTGGAACATTATGTGTTCGGTAAATATTTTCTCTCTCCTTTTTTCCATTTGTCATGATAAACTACTTTAAGTTGGCTTAGTTATCATCTCATATGAGGACTAACCCCAGTGCAAAATAACCCACTCTTTTCCAAAAAAATCACTTGGTATTAAAATAACATTTACCAATTATTAGGTATGTTAAAATTTGTTTTCACTCACACATTTATACTGGTCATGCATTATTTGGTGCCAATCTTTTCACAAATATAGTCATTCTTGTTTTATTCTAGAACATTTTCATAATGCTGCAAAACAAGAAGGGCAGCAATGTTAAAGGAATAGATAAGCGTGTAAGTGGGCATTAATACCTTCATCCTGGAACCAGCTTCACCTTCTTCTCTTTTTCAAATCCTCTGTTTACATCTCAAGAGAGTTTCATAGTCCTGAACAAGTTATCATTTGAGTGCTCCTGCTGACTGAGTCATGGCTGTCTTCTCTCCTCTAGTTTCAATCAAATGGTCATCCCTGAGCAGAAAACATTTGAGAAAAACTTGGAACTCATACACACATTCTGACAACGTATGCTCTTCCCCATGACCAGCATCCTAGGTCTTCAGTGCTTCACACTTAAGTTGTTGATAAAAACAAATTATTAGCCTACTTCCCTGCCTTAAGTCTTCCTTTCACCTAATTGCCCTACTGATAGAGAGACTTAGAAACATTCCTGCCATATTATTGCTTCCAGTTTAACATCTCAAATGATCCCCCATTTCTATCAAATAAAATTCCCCAGTTTGATATTCAAGGCCCAATACAAACTCATCTTTGAATGCCTCTGGTTTATGACTTGTCACATTTCAACAGATAGTCCTGTCCACAAAGTCACAAGCATATATATTTAATATTTAAACTTGTCTCAGCCACTACTTTTTGAAAATGCTTTCTGTCCCTTCCCACCTGTCCATGATGTGGGTGAGGTATGCCTCCCCTCCTAGAGTACCTTCAGCAAATACAACAGAGAATGGAACAAATTGTATTGTCATTTTTTGCTTATTTGTCGGTATCCCTTCATTAGGATGTAGGTACCCTGTGGGCAGAAATATGTTCTATTCATCTTTCTCCCACCTTATCAACTTGCATCAAAGTTAACTTCTTTGGTAATAGTAAGATGGTCATAAAAAAAGGAAGAGATGTGACTTGGAGCTCCCAATATGAAGCTGAAAATAATTTGTTTCTAAAGCAATACTGCTTCTTACAGAGGAGCCTAAAAAGCCACAGAATCAAGAGACAAATAGGCAGTATATGCAGAATTCTGAAAGTGATCTGGGACTGTGTATGTCCTCTATACACAGAGCCCCTGCTCTTCCCTCTGGATGACATAATTAGATCTGTTCGCTGCTTGCCTCTCTTACCACCGTGCCCTGGCCACTCTCTTCTCTGGTCCAATATCTGAGGATCCCTAAGACAGAAAACTCATTTCATTAATACCGATTCTAACACTTCTTCATTTTAGGCATCATTTCAGGATTTGCTCTGCAAGCATGCACCACACTGTTGTTATAATACAACCTTTCACTGCATGTGAGAAATCTCCTCAGAAGCACTTCTCAGTCATGTCCCTCTGGTTTGGTTTCAGGTCCTTGCCTCCAAAGACAGTCCCGTTCATCATGGAAGACATTGGAACCTCCAGTAGTTGGAGCTGAGGGTCTTTATCAGAAAGCAGTCATTCACCTCTGCCTTAGCCCTACCTTTCATTCCTGATATCAACTGTGGTCCAAGTATGATCTTCAGTAACCAGACCCTGTCATACATCTGTAAAATTTGAAAATAAACAAGTGTTTAAAATATGTACATGTCTACATTTCTTTCTACTGCTGTGATTTCTTGTAAGCTACACATAATGCTTAACAACTCATTCAAGAAGCAGGAATATGGCAGTAAAAAATAACTGAACTTCTCAGTCACCATCTCACATGATAGACCATTATTCCATTACAGAAGTACATAGTTTTGTTAACCCTTTGAGTTGATAGGAGTTCCTACTGTTTTTAAATATGTATTGACCTGCAAACCTACAAATGGTGGAAAGTACTATTTGAGAGAAACCATTAACTGAGGTGTAGGAATATGAAAACACTACAAGATTATATTTGACAAAGCAAGATGTGTAAAAATGTATTTCCTCTGGCAGTAAGTAAAAATAATGTGGATCTTACAGGGCAATTTGAAATTTATTAGATAAGGCTTCCCAGAGAAGTACGTTTTCACAAATCCCTTTATCTTTATTTTCAAACACATTCATCTTTATTCACAAACTAGATGTGCTGGACTTTGAAATCCAGCTTTATAACATCCCAGTATTATTATGGATCAGTCACTTTCGGAACATATAAACTTCTTCAAAACAAATGTAGACCAAATGCCCTAGAACTCACTTGCCCAAAGGTTTAGTGAACTCCCTTTAGTCACTTCCACAATTTTATTTTTTAAAAGATTGTGTTTTCTCACAACACAGACATTTCTTCCCAAGGCATATCTCCTAAATGAGTGCTGAATTGTGTATCCATCTTGATTAGTCAGACTGGAATCTTATTTTTCTTCTCTTTGCCACAAAATAAACTTAAAGAATTCCAATATTTAGTCTTCATTACATGTGGGTATGCAGGTAGTGTAAGGATACTAGTATATGCCAAATTAAGGATTGCAAAGCTGCCTAAAAATGGTGTGTTGTTTAAACAATGTTTGAGGCATGGTTTCTTCCCTGTTTGGAAACAGTGAGGGCTGCTGTATTATGATTATTGGTTCATTTTCTGCTTGATTCCATGGTGGGAAGTACGAGCCTTACTGACTTTATAAATGCAGGTGAGAAAAATTTAGATTAGAATAAGTATATGAAAAAAAAACACGCCTGTCTTGTCAAAGAAAAACAAATGAATATTAATTTCTCTGTAATTCTGGCTAATAGCAGGACAGTAAGGAAAATATTACCTCTGAAACTTCAAGGACATTAAATTATTGGGTTGATTAGAACCACTTCTGAATTAGGAAGTTGTTTTCCTCATCTTCATTGTGTACACAGATCAGACTTGGTTGCCTGTGATGATTAGACAGAATAAAAGAAAATCTATGTAAAAACTGAAAAGTTTATGCATGCTTTGCATATTAGTCCTTCAGCTCACAGAAAAAAAAATTGTCACATTGGCCTGTTTTCAAAACACCTTGGGATAGTTTTCCAAAGAACCAGGAAGGATAATGCATGGAACATGTGCTAAGGGAATTCAGAGGTGAGAGCAATCCCTGAGGAAGGGAGAAGTACAAGAAGGCTCATGGAGGTGGAGCTGAGACAGTCGAGGGCGAAATGAGCATTTCAGATACACAGTTTGTTCAATGGAATGGAGATGGACCCATATTGTTTGGGAGCAAAGTAATTAGTAAAGTAATTGGGTTGAAAGAGAGGATTAATTTATGGAAGTAAGAGAAGACAGAGTTGAAGAGATATGTAGGGACCAACAACAAATAAATGAGTGTCTGCTATTTGAGAGGTGTACTGGGCACTAAAAAGACATCTCTGAAAAAGGTGTTTGAGCTTGAGGGTAGGGTAAAGGAGATAAATTTGACTGAACAAAACAGTATAGATTGCAATGAAAATAGACCAGTTTAAGTTGTACTGAACTGAAGGAGATGCATGTGAAAGCTGTTATGAAGGAAAAAGAAATTGGACTGAATGGTTGAGAATGTGGGAAGAGAAATAGAAAGTTCAGCAGCTAAGTTGGTTGGCTATTAGGGGGAATTATGTCATTCTTTAGGAATTAAAGAATGTGCAATGCAGTTCTAAGGCTACCAGCCCACGTTCAGCCAAACTTCATGGGTAAAGCGCACAGTCCCCCACAAGTCTGCCCTCACTTCAGACTCTAGCCTCAAACTCTAGTGTTCCCAGATCACCCACACTTGAGACCAACTGACTACAAATTTGGGAGTTTCCTCAGTTTTATAATTTGCCAGAATCATTCACAGAATTCAGTAAGGCACTAATTTTTATTATAGAGGATAAAAATTAGGACCAGCCAAATGAAGAAGCATATACAGGGAAAGATGTAGAAGCCTTCCAAACATGAAACTTCTGTGTGCTCAGGGTGTATCACCCTTTCAGCATATCAGTGTGTATCACCAGCCAGCCAGCTCATTAAGCATCACTGTGCAAAAGTTTTCTTGGAGTTTCATTACAGAGGTATGATGTTTTTTCAATTATTTGCTATGAAATTAAACTCAGTCTCCAGCCCCCTTCCTCCTCAAAAGTCAGGCTGTTATCACAGGACTTAAAGTACCAAACCTTTAACACATGATTGGTCTCTCTGCCATGGCCAATCTCCATTCTGACCCCTCTTGTGAGCAAAAACTATCTAGAGGCACTCCATGAGTAATCTCATTAGCATAAATTCAGGTGTGGCCCAAGAGGCCCACCATAAATAACACACTCCTATCACTTGGGAAATTCAAGGATGTAGAGGATCTCTCCGCAAAACCAGAGACACGGATGCAGCCAAATTCTTTGTTACAATATAGAATGAGTTTGAAGTAACTTTAGGTTCTTTCAGGCGGAATCTCTGGCAGACAGTTAAAATGTCAAAACAAGCTGGAGAGAAAGAGAAAAAAGGACCAGAAAGGTGACTTTGGCCACAAAGTGAAAGGTCAGTGTTCATAGTTACTCAACGAGGCCTTCAGTTGGGATATGCGTCCTTTGCAAGAGAATACACATCAGAAAGCAACTGAAACACATGTAACTTATTTGTCTAAAGAAATCAATGCTTAGCCTGAAGCTAACATTAACTTGAATAGAAACAATTTTTCCTGCATCTTCTCTGATAACCAGATGTCTAAAATATGTATCTTTTACAAGCATATCAAACAATCCCTAGAGAAAATGTGATAAAAATATGTAAATCCAAAATTGACAGAGCAGTGACTTAAATACTTCATTCTTGTTCAACAAATGCAAAAGTGATGAGGTAAGCATCACTAATGCTCACTTGCTCTTCAACATTTTAAACCAAATGACTGAGTTCCTTAAGAACAGACAATGTTTTGTTCAATGTGCTGTAGAAAATGAAATAGCAGAAAACAAAACAGAAAAAAAACACACCTTCTGCCTTCATGAAGCTTACATTCCAGTTGGAGAAATAAATAATAAGCCATACACACACACACACACACACACACACACACACACTGTAGAAGCCCAGTGCACAATTTTGTGCACGGGTGGGGTCCCTTGGAGTGGCCTGCGGGGATCGGGCCTCAGTTTGCACCCCTAGCCTCGCAGCTGCAGCCCTGTCTGGCACCCGCTGTGGCCTGGTGCCGCACCCTCACCTGCACCACCATCCCGCCTGCGGGGCAATCAATTGGGGCCAGGCTCCCTGCCTGGCTCCCTCAAAGGCTGGGAGCCGAGCAGCGGTGGCATCAGGGTGTGGGGACGGCTGGTTGTCATCTGCAGGGTAATCGGCGGGGTGATCAGGGCCCCCGCTTGCACCCACCTTGGCCTGATGCTGCCCACTCACCTGCTCCACCATCCTGCTGTGGTCCCACTCTTATTGGGGCCCATCTGGGCCAGCAGCACCTCCACTGCCGCCCACTGCCAGTGCCATGTCGCTGACACTCACCATGTTCTGCGCCACCCCCTAGTGTTTAGTGCACGTCATAGCGAGCAGTCGAACTCCCAGTCAAACTCCCAGTCAAACAATTTCCATGTTAGGCTTTTATTATATAGGATAGTTAAGGCATTAGAGAAAGAGCTAGCTATACATGTGGGAAAACAACCTAGGGTCAGTTACATAGATGTCAGCTGATGCTCACTAAAAGGGCTGCAACTTCCTGAGTGGCAGATATATCTCACAAGGCTTAGCCACATTAAGATCAGTAATTGTTTAACAAAAAAGCGTCACAAGAAAATCAAAGTATTTTCAAAATTCCTTTAAAAACAATCCTCTTCCCTGAAAACTGGCCACATATGCCTGTGTCCTGAAAAAAACACCTCGTTCTATGTGTAATGGTAAACTGAATTCTAGACCTTCTAGATGCTCACCAAGTTAGAGAAAGCTGTTTCCCAAAGGTACAGCCCCTGATGCTACTGGGTTCAAAATGGTCTCTCACAAATGCTAGAGTCAATATTTGTTGATTGATTGGTTCGTGAGCATGTATAGGATGAGTTTTCCTTCAAACATTTCATAATTGTTTAAAGAGCATCATTGCCGTGGCCAATGTGGCTGAGTTGGTAAGAGTATCCTCCAGTACACCAATATCCCAGGTTGGAGACCCATCAGGGCACAGGCCTGGGTTGAAAGTTCCAACCAGCCCTGGTCAGAGTGTGCAGGAGGCAACTGATCTCTCTCTCTCTCTCTCTCAAAATCAATGAAAGTGTCCTTGAGTGAGGATAAAAACAAAAACAAAAACATCACTATTTATTTTTGTGACTTTCTACTAAGGTTCAAATTCCTTCCTGATTTCAAAAACTCACCTCTATGTAGAGAACAACTTGATATGAAAGTATGAGAATCTTGGAAACAAAAAGGAAATAAATTGCAAATTGATTTAAAATAGCACTAAATTTTCTGTTCTGGCCAGTGTGGCTCAGTTGGTTGGACATCGTCCCATGCACCAAAAAGTTGTTGGTTTGATTCCTGGTCAGGGCACATGCCCCAGTTGAGGTCTCAGTCCCCAGGAGGAGGTATGCAGGAGGCAGCTGGTCAGTGTTCTGCTCTCACATTGATGTTTCTCTTTCTCTCTCCCTCTCCCTGCCTCTCTCCC